GCTCTTCCTCTCGAGTTTGCGGGGGTCTCTGAGGCAGAGCGTAGTCCAGCACGGACACCGACGGCATCTCCTGCAAGCGCAAGGGGAGAGAAAGCTCCCCCCAGGACAGCAATCACTGACCGGGACGGGGAAAACTGGCACCGCGTGTCCCAGGGACGTTCCCGGGAATTGACGGCCGCGTCCTTCCTCCTACCGGGGCTCCTCCGCATCCCGCCGCGCTTCCTCGGCAGCCCCTGAGGCGCTGGCGGGGGCTTCCTGGGGACCCCCAGAACCCACGGCGCTGCCAAAACGCCCGTTTGTGGCGACGCCGCTGCCCGAGCGCGGGGTGGGAACTCTGTGGTGCCGCCGCCCGGGCTGCACGCAGGCGCTGGGTCCCCAGCCCTGCGGGGCCGGGAGAGGGCTGGCCGCGCAGCACGCTGCGCTCACACTTAAAAGCTTAACTCTTAATTAAAACCGCAACCGAAAAAAAAAATAAAAATCCTCTGCCTTGAGGCGTCGACATTCCCAAACCCTGACGGGAGCGCTGCCGTCTCTCAGACATCCCCAGGATCAGCGATAAACCCCCGGCCTCTGAGGCGGGGCAAGGGGTGATGTCTATAAACGAGCCAAGCAGTGGCCACCCGGCCCTGGCCGGTGGCAAGCGGAACACCCCGCCATCCCGGGCTGATCCGAGGAGCCCGCGGCGGTACAGGGCGTCTCGCGTTAGGGAAGCCACGCCGCCTCCCGCCCGCGCCCCGGCACCCTACCTGAGTGAGAAGCGGCCCCCGGATGCGCCGCAGGACGGCTGAGCTGTCCCAAATGCTGGAATTCAACCCTCCGGGCTGCTGGAAAACAGACAGGGAGTCAAACCACGGCGCTGCCGGCTCCATCCCCGATCCTTCCCCGGCCCCGATCCCACCTGCGCGGGGATCCGGGTCTGCACGGCCTGCATGATGGCGGGATCCTCCAGCTCGCTGTCGATAACCAGCCTGGTTAACCGCTCCGCCAGCGTATCCTCGGGGTCGCCCAGCCGATCCGGCTCCTCGC